TAGTATAAGGGTGTATTTTTAAACTTTTAAAATACTAGGGTTTTAGAATTTAATATTTCAAAATTAAACTTTTAATTAAATTTTAAATTCCAAAACTAAAGGGTGTAATTTTAAAACTATTCAAAGTTACTAGATCAAATTTTAAATAATTTAAATTAAGGAAATAATTTTGTCATTATTTTAAAATTTGACCAAATCTATCTAATTTGATAAGGCAATCAGATTACCATTCATAAAATTCAAATTATAGCATTAAAAATGAATTATGGTAATTATCCTAATCCGAAATAGATTTGAAAATCGAAAATTTAGCGGTCAGACGAGTCAACTCGTCGAGTTCTGGCTACAGAATGCAGATTCTGAATTGCTTTCGATTTGGACAGATCATTATTGCATCAAATATAACAGAAAAACATCATAGGCTCTAATACCACTGATGGGTTTTGAGCATATCTACATTCCTATGTGATCATGCAACCCTAATTGCTTTGGATCTAAGTTTTTCTCTAGTTATACATGCAAACAAGATTTCCAAAGTATCAACCCTAATACTAGCATACAAAAATTGAAATCTATATGAAAACTAGGGTTTAAGAATTATCTTTCTTGTTATCTAGTAATCACAAGTATTCCTTGCTTGATCTTGACTTCTGAAAGCTTTAGTGCCTCAAGTGTTGCACCTCTAATGGAGTCACAAACACCACTAGCAAAGGATGAAGGAGAGAGGTGATGGATGCTACTCAATTTTTGGCTAGGGTTCTCTTAGAAGACATATGGCCGAAAATGCAAAGCCTAGGGTCCCTTATATAGTTGAGGCTGCTAGGTTTTTCAGGTGAAAACCCTAATTCCTTGCTTAAGCCTTAAGCAGTCCATGGACACTCCTTCTAGAAGGTCCTAGACGAATTCTATAGGGCTTGATATAGATTTCGTCCACTCCTCCATAAGGAGTCCATCAGCCCAACTTTGCAACTATCAGTGATTTGCAATACCAGTCCCCGTTCTTTTAATCAGTTCCTTTAATCCTAAAATTAATTCCAAATTAATTTCCGATTAATACTAATTAAATAATATGATTTTTCAATTAATATATTATTCTTATAATATATTAATAAATCATTTATCAACCTCTTTCTCCAAAAGTCATCCTGTCAAGTTGCTATGGTGAAGGCAAACCAAAAGGACCATGCTACCATCAGATCAAGTGCATACCAATTATAGTTATGGGCTTAGACACCTAATCCAACAATAACTACTTACAAATTTTGTACACGTTGTATAAGTGTTTATATAAGTATGATGCATTTTACAAAATAAAATAAAATCGTCCACCTTAGGGGTGAGTATTTGGACCGGTTCTTGGATCGAACCAGTTTGTCAGAAATTGGTGGACCACAGACCGGATTTGTTGAGGCTTTCCGGGTTCAAGTCCAGGTATGATTTTTCTGGTTCTTATACCTGTTGGACCTCTACAGCTTTAGGTGCACATGGTATAACTCGTTTAAGTCCTACTGAAGTTAGTTTATCTATTACTTTAAAATGAATACTTGTTTGACTGGACCTGGACCGCACCTACCCGGTTTTGTACCCAAACTCATTTTTCATGATTCAAATAACCGAGAACCAGACCTACTCTAAACAACTGGTTTGGGTCCAGGTCCAGTTTCCGATCCGGTTCGATCTCGAGGTCCAAATTCTCACCCCTAGCAATCCACCTAAGTGGTTGTCTTCCCATTCAATTTTGTGTGAGGTTATCCTTGTCTTCCCATTTATTACGGTTTTAATCATTTCTTTTAACTTTTATTACAAATATAATCTTTACTCTATTTCTTTTACAGTCCCCCTCCACCATGAAAGATCTTTATTCCCGAGAGACATTAAAAAATGGTATTGTTAGATAATATATGATCTTAAAAAGGGCACACTAACAACAACTTGATGATGAAATATTATTTATAAGAATTTGGTTCTTGATAAATACTTATATTATATTATATTATATTATATTATCTATAAGATTTTATTCTTAATAAATATTTATATTTCTTGTATATAATCAGAAAATAATATTGTTTTAAGAAAAGTATCAAATAAAGTCATATAAAATGATTTATAGAAGTCATATGTTTTGTGTAAACTAAAAGAGGCTTTAGTTTTTCTAAAAGGCTTGATATGATTTTTATAAAAATAGAATAAGTGTTTGACTTTTCTTTCCCTTTTTTTGTCTTAAAGCCAAGGACACACACCACCTAGGGTGGGTGTGTGTTACTTGTAAAGTCTTCCATAATCTTGACTAGCCATGCTCTTAAATGAAGACCATGCTTCTTGCTATAAGGCCTTACTACTTATTTATTAAGAGATGTATTTAAGGAAAGACATATGAAGTATTTTGTAACTAGTTTTCTCTATACTTTTGCCCTTGAAAAATCACGAGATTATGCTCCCCATTTTCCTCCTTTTTTTTCTTCTTTCTACTTAATAGATTAAAAGTCATATGAAGATGAAGATGATACTTTAGACTCTCTTTGAGTTAATATTTGGTATTAACTTAAACCTTAAGAGTTCTCTATTATTACAAGATTTTGGCTAGCACCGCTATCAAGTTGATTTATTGTTGGTGTCCTAGACAAGAAGGAGTTGGATCTACATTCTACATCAACATCAAACCTCCTGAGAGGAATCACAACCTTCAAAGGTTGTAACACCTTATCCTCCTTTGACTGTGTTTTAATCTTTCTTAGCTTTGCAAAATGTTCTTTGGTGGGTAAATGGTTTTAATTTATTAAAATCTAAAAATATTTCCGTTGTTAATTACGCCAAGTTTGACACTCTAATTAGATTATTTTTGAATAAAAACTCTACACATCATACTTTCTTTTACAACCAAAAAGTTTTATTTTTTATTACATGAACCAAATCTTTTAATGAAACCAGATGGATAATGTTCTTTGAAAGAATCAGCAAAGACTGAATTTATGGCTTTTGGTAAACTATAAGAACCATTATGTAATTTTCTATTTCTTATTTCTTTTTAAATGTTTTTGGAGAAACGTTTTATATCAAATTTTGGTTTGACTTATTTTTTCTTAATTTTTTCAAACTTTCTTTTAAGAGTAAATTGCAAAATTGGTCCATGTGGTTTATCAAAAATTAAATTTTTGTGTCAATTTTTTTCCCACCACACATGGTCTAAAATTGAAAATACCATGCAGGTTTGGTCTCTCGAAAATTTAAATGCACTTGAAAATATTATTTTACCCTTATGATTTTATTTTGTATTTTCTTTTATTTACTCAAATATTTTTATAATTAAAAAAAATAATAATAAATAAAACCATAATTACCTACTCCACTCATTCATTTCTATTAATATATACATATTAAAATTGGCATGACTTAGGAACAATTAAGTTTTCTGGTTATGAGTTTGGCCACAAAATTTCTGTTATTGACATTTGTAGCCCCTCATAAATTAAAAAACTTTTGCTTCATTATTTTCAGGAGTGGTCACTTTTGATCTTTCTAACTTCATAGGTAGCCAATTAAAACCCACCCATGCAAAGCATGGGTCACTCCCCCTAGTTTTAATATAAAACCTACATCTTTCCCCTCTCTCTCTCTCTCTCTCACCCTCTCTCCTTATTTTTTTTTTCCTGCTGGACCACCATCGATGTCCATTTCTCACCCGATCTGCATATGTTTAGATCCATCGCCGTTCGCCTATGTCTAGATCCATTATCGTCCTCCGTTCACCTCCCTCCAGATCCACCACCGTCGTCCACCTCCTACATAAAACAAATCTATAAAAACTAACGAACACACTCTTTCTCCTTCGGAAGATGATGACGGTGGGTTAGCTCTTCGATCTAGGATCGTGAATAGAAGTGAAGAGAGAGGTTCAAATTGGAGCTTGTGTTTCTTTTCTGGCGATGTCAGTTCCAAATAATGTTAGGGTTCCGGCATTCAGCCACCGTATTCGTTGAGTTACAGCATCGAAGTTCCAAATATGGATCTGGTAACAACTCGTCAACATTCAAGAGGTGATGGTAGTTCCAGATCCGTCAACGGTGGTGTCACTTCTCCTTGATGGCGTCGGTGCAGGTTGTTAGAGTAGGTGATAACTTTGGTGGTTTCCGTCGATGGCAGTGGTACTCAATGATAATGATGGTGGTTTTCGGAGAGAAGGCAGTCGACCGTAGCCGACAACGGTGGACCAGCATAAAAGAAGAAAGAAGAGAAAGAGAGACATAGAGAGTGAAAAAAATATGAACTTGGTATATTAAAAGAGAAATTGGTGGGTGTGGTAGATATTAGGGGTTTTATTTTATATTTTTTTAATTATAAAAAATCTTTAAGTAAAAAAATGAAAAAGAAAATCAGGATGGCAAAATGATCTTTTCAAGTGCATTCAAATTTTTAAGGGACCAAATTTCCATGATATTTTTAATTTTGGACCATCCGTACATGGAAAAAAAATTGTCCAAAACTATACCTTGTGGTAAACCATAAGGACCAATTTTGCAATTTAATATTCTTTTAACAATTTTGTTCATATGCTTTTTAAAATTTTTATTTTAGCTTTTTTTGTTTACATAAATATTTGTATGCAACTTATTTTATGTTTTTTAAAACTCTAATCCTTCTATAAATTTTATTGTCTATTATACATACATAAACTTTCTGCAATATGTACAATATCATACGTTTAAATTTTCCGGGCAAACTAATTCCAAAATATGACAAAATAACAAGACCAAAAACAATTTTTTGTTGTGATTCCTAATTTTTGTAGTTTCCCTTAAAAATGTGGCTACTTTTAGGCACCATGATGTTTTTTTTTTTTTTTTTTTTTGGCAAACCATAAGTCATAGTAGCTTTCAGTTTTTGTAGTTTAATTAACAAAATATTAAATCTATATCATGTTGGCATGACTTTCATGCAACTCATCATACCAATAACTAGAAGGTATTCAATCAATGTAAACAAAGATTACCACACAACTACTGGCATTCAAATATTATATATCCATGTCTACGTTGAACATCATCACTCTACCAAATCTTCTACTTTCTGAATCACCAAACATCAATTATGCTAATAACATCAAAACCATGCACATAAACAACATTCTTGAGATCGAAAACTTTGAAAAGGCTTCTGAAGAAGGCGGATTTGCTAACGTGGGCACCGTGTCTGTTGGGGTTAGTGCTCCTGAGCCACCATCCATTAGTGTAATGTTTTGCGGTGGAGTGCTTAAAATTGGAGTCATCATCCCTCCACCTCCTCCAGCAGTGCTACAAATAGTTATCAAATGTCATGTAATTTAAATCTCTAATTGTCATCAAGTAACCATCATCCATCATCTGAAGTACTTTGTATAATCTTCTTTAGTATTATGGGATTTTTGAAAGTGGAAGTATTGTATTACGACACTCAGAAATAATGATAATAACATCAAAGAAAATTTAATATGATTAGGAACTTGATAAATATAATTTAATTATATGATGTTATAAAAAAAATATTGAATACTTACGAATTAAATGTTTGTTGTATTCTATATGAAAATGTTTTCTTCAATTTACTTACGAACTTGATAAATATAATTTAATTATCTGATGTTATAAAAAAAAATATCGAATACTTACGAATTAAATGTTTGTTGTATTCTATATGAAAATGTTTTCCATCAACACGATTAATGTTTCAACCCGACACGACACAACACGAGATGTTTACGAGGTCTAAACCATAAACCCCAAACTCGATAAAATAAATATGTTTGGGTAAGAAATTTCAACCAGTTGATCAATCTGTTTAAAGTAAACGGGGTTGACACAATACGACACAAAAATTAAACAAATAAGTTTATTATCAAATTCTTTCAATCTATTTAATGTTTCAACTTGCTGCAAAGAGTGGTGCGCTATAGTTATAAGGTGTGCATTCGTGCACATATGTGGAGTATGTTGATAAAGTTAATGAGGAGGTGATATTTGGAAAAACATGAAAGATAATCAAAGGAAGAGAACTTGTTTTAATATGGATTTAAGAATTGTTATATTTTAAATTTACCCTAAATTAAGTAAGAATAATAAGGTGATAGGTCCTACTGATGTACTTGCTTGAATAGAATGAAAAACTTGTGTATGAAAGTTTATCTTGGAAGTGTGCACTTCGAGTTTGAAACCAAGGACATTACGTAAATAGAACCAAGATCTAAACATAATCCTATTGAAAATGTGTACATGGGCAGAGATTTAAACGCGAGACAAATCTACTATCTTTATTAGAGATGATAGAAATCGACACCCCCGTGCAGCGTGCAGCAGGGTGATTTCCTAGAGATAGGTTCAAGTCAGCTTTTTCGTCTTGTTTGTTTCTTTGATTGTCAGAAAGTGGGCAGACTTAGTCGGTCTACTGAATCCCAATTACTGTCGAAACCATCATGCATCTTGGGTAGTTTCGTTTAAGAAGTCTCTTAAGATTTGCTCTTACTTCTACTCGGGTACTTCTGGTTGTTGCCTCGTTCTTTTCAGCTCAAGGCAATTTGTAATCATTCAGTAGTTTGACTCATCTTCGTTGCCTTGAGTTCTCTTTGGTCGAAGGTGTGTTCGAGATTCTTGTGATCTTTATAAATGGTACAAATCTCTAAAGTGAATGTCTCTAAATCTTTGAAACGAAAGTAATGTAGTTGTTTTCGTATATTTTGAATTTTGAGTTGTCGTGAAAGCGTAGCCAACAACTTCATTCCTTAACACGTCACCCAATCCTTGATGTGGCGCGTCACAGTATACGACAAGGCCATATGTTCCTTCCGGGAGGGATGAGATTGGTACGTTACACAATATGTGTTCCAACTTCTGGAACTACCGTAATATTTTCTTTTTGACGTGAGAGGTTTGGTTATCTTTGGAGAAATTTCCGTCAACTTTCTCAGTGTCTTGCTTCTTCCGAGCTTCCCATGGAATTACCATCATATTTTCTTTTGTTATTCTCAATTCTTGTGACATCCTATTTCTTAGATCAATGTTTCTTAACAGGCTAATTGGGTTATTAGACTGATGACCTATTTCTTGGCATGGTTGTAGGTGTTGGGTCTAAAGGATGTAACCATCTCTCGTATTTGTAGGGTCATACCTCTTATGTACTATTAGTATGTTCGCATTTAGTCTCAAAGCCCTTAGGGTTTGGGTTAAGTTAAGGTCCTTATGTATCCATAATTAAATAAGGTTTAACCCTCATTTTTAATCAATCAATCTATTTTATAACATGGTATCAAAGTCGGCATCTTGCACCACTTGGTTCAGCACATCCCACATCATATCTATACTCATCGAGCCTCCGACCCTGAGGGGGAGTGTTAGTATATCTCATTTTGGTGCGATACGGTGATATAAGTGGTTACAAGGGCTCTTTTGGAGAGACAATCTTGACATCCACATATATTTACATGGTATTAGAGCCTATTCTATTATGATATTTATTATGATATTGCTTAATGGTTGAGTCTTTTAAACCACAACTTTTCTCAAATTCTCCAATGAGAATAACTTGGAATGAGGTTCACATACTTATCTAAGTAGTTCTATGTTTATGTTTTTCTTATCAATAGAGGACTGCATAGTCATATATATTTAGTGGAGTTCTTTACAATTTTCTTCACATAACAACGCAGTTTAACATGTTTCCTCATGATATTAAGGCTACAACGAACTTTGCCCAAAAATCTCGATAATGCGGTTTTCCGATGTCATGGTACGGACGATTGAAAACAGTTTCTAGAAGTGATAAAAAATGTTTTTCTCATCACCATTACTTTTGATGAACAAGCTGATGAGAAGCTATTTTTACATCGTCGTTGCTCCTCTTTGGACTCCTTTGTCGTCGGCTTCATGATCGTCGTCGGCTTTCCTCTTTTGTTATAAAAAGGAACTGCCACTCCTCTCTCCTTCCTAGTGTTATTACTCTCGTCCACATCCTATGTGTCTCCGTATACTTATTAATTAATCTTTTTTTTTAAAACGTCCTATCAATTAATCACCACATACGAAACTATACTCGCATATATTCCGATGAAAACAAGAAATATAAGTTATGATCCCGAAAAAGAAAACGCACGAGAAAAGACATGAAAAATAGCTTCTTTATCAGCTTGCTTATTAGTTTTTTCATCAATAGTAATGGTAATGGGAAAAACTTTTTCTTCCAGAAATCTCAATCATGAGGTTTTCCTATGTCATGGTCTGGACCGTTTGCAACCTGTTTCTAGAAGTGATAAAAAAGTTTTTTCCCATTATCTTTTGATGAACAAGCAGATGAAGAAGCTATTTATCATGTCCTTTTTCGCGTGTTTTCTTCTTCAAGATCACCACTTCTATTTATTGTTTTTATTAGAATGTATGCGAGTATGGTCTCGCATGTGGTGATTAATTGATAGGACGTTTTAAAAAAAAAGATTAACTGATTAGTGTAGAGAGGCAGATAGGAGGTGGACGAGAGTAATGACATTGGGAAAGAGAGAGGAAGCGACAGACAATGGCAGTTCCTTTTTATAACAAGAAAGGAACGACGGTGGTGATCATGGAGACAGCGAAAAAGGAGTCCTTAGACGAGCGGCGACAGCGAAAAAATAGTTCTTCATCAGTTTGTTCATTAAAAGTAATGGTGGTGGAATAAACTTTTTTTATCACTGCTAGAAACAGTTTGCAATAGTCCACATAGGAAAATCTCATTATCGAGGTTTCTTGATGAAGTTTGTTATAGCCTTGAATAATTATCCTAATGAAATAGGTTAGACTGTCATGTTGTGTGAAGAAAAATGCAAGGAACTCCAGAAAATATATATGGCTATGTAGTCCTCTACCGGTAAGAAAAACATAGAACAACTTAGAAAAATATTGGAACCCAATTCCAAGTTATTCTCATTGGAGAATTTGAGAACAATTGTTGTTTAAAAGACTCGACCATTAAGCAATTCCTCTTTAAAAAGAGTGAATAAATATGTGACTTCGCAATCAAGTGGTTCCTCTCCTTTACCACAGGCTATGGAGAGGATATGCAAGAAGTGCTAAAAAACTTGGTAAGGCTTAAGTTGTTGACTCTCAGAGATGTTTCTTATTTTTTCATCAATATGGGCATTAAACATGTTTCTAACAGAAGACGAAACGCAAAAGGCAACGAAGATGCTTATTGATTCGCAAAAGATAGTGAAGGAAACAAAGAATAAGAAGAAAAAGAGGATTTGACTTCTTGGAATTGGATTTGATTTGGATTTGTAATGAACAAATCAGTTATGACATTTGTGTTTATTGATATTTTTTTCAACTAAAAGCTATTTTGATTCATTAAAAGTTTATAACCATCTAAGTCGAAATTAAACTATCAAAATAGGCTTTGATACCATGTAAATATATGTGGATGTCAAGATTGTCTCTCCAAAAGAACCCTTGTAGAGAGAAAGGTAATTCCAACATATATAGCCACTTATATTAACGTGTCGCACTAACACACTTCCTCAGAGTCGGAGGCTCGATGAGGATAGACAGGGATGTGTTGAACTACATGGTGCAAGACGTACGACCATGCCAAGAAATAGGCCATCAGTCTAACAACCCGATTAGCCTGTCAAGAAACATTGATCAAGAAAGAGGATGTCACAAGAACTAAGAATCGCAAAAGAAAATATGATAGTAGTTCCATGGGAAGCTCAAGTTAATCCTCTCGGAAGAAGCAAGACACCAAAAAGCTTAATGTTGCGCAAATCCTTACATGAAAACAATACTTAGGAAAACACCCAAAGTGTGGCCGGTGCAACTACTAGCGTACGGGCGAATGCTACTCCTCCAACAAGTGCAACAAAAGGGGCACATCCCCAACTTTTGCAAAAACAAGCCAGCTGTCGTGAAGTAAAAAAGCAAACACACGAACAGGTACCGGTCGAGGCTGAGATTGTTTTTAGTGTGGTGAAGTCTGGCATTTTGAGAGAGACTGCCTAAAGTTGAGGAACCAATAAATGAAGCTCGATTAGAGTATTGTGATTAGAGTAAGAGACACGATCCAGGAACGATCTGTAATGAGCGGTACGTTCCTCATTAACAACTTATATACAACTGTACTAATTGATTCAAATGTGGATAAGTGTTTTATAGCCCCTAAGTTTAAACATATGGATCCACTATACAGAGGAAGTAATGAGCGGTACGTTCCTCATTAACAACTTATATACAACTGTACTAATTGATTCAAATGTGGATAAGTGTTTTATAGCCCCTAAGTTTAAACATATGGATCCACTATACAGAGGAAACCTGTAGAGTAGAGACGACTAATGAACCGTCATTAATCTACTTGCGAAATCTTAACAAATTATGTCTTAGCACATAATAAACACGCCTTTTTATGTCAATCTTATGTCTACGATTTCGAAAGTTTCGATATTATTATCGGTACAAACTGATTTTTTTCTCTATGTCACGCTAAGTTATTGTGTTACGAAAAGTCGTACGAACCGCTTGACTGATGGAGAAACCCTAATAATTTACGAAGACTACGAAGACAAGTCAGGACGAAACCTCAAACTCATATTTACACAAAGGCTCAAAAGTATCTACACAAAAAGAACTACGCTTTGTTGGTGTACGTTGTAGATGAAAAGAACGAAAGAAAGGAGGTCAAAGACATACCTCATCTACCTGGGATACCACCTGTTCGACAAGCCGAGTTCAAATCGACTTAGTCCAAAGAGCAGCACCGGTAGCAAAAACTCCCTACTAATTGGCTTCATCAAAAATGCAAGAACTGTCTAGCCAACTACAAGGACTTCTTGACAAAAGTTGTATCAGAACAAGATTCTTATCTTAGAGACCACCAATTTTGTTTGTTAAGAAGGACAGATGCTTTCAAATGTGTATCGATTATTAGATCCTTTCAAATGTGTATCGATTATTAGGAGCTGAACAAATTAATAGTGTTGTGAATAAGAAACTTTTCAAGTTTTATGTCACTTATTCAAAACCACAATATGAAGTTTGGAGTCTGAAGAAGATAGTTGTTGTTAAGAAGTGTGAAGAAGCAAATGTAGATGGGTATACAAACAACAAGTTCACTCTGGTGAGAGGGTTAAGTAATGAAGAATCTGAGTTCACGTTTGCTGAGCTTCCAATTATGAATCCTTATGATTAGTTTATGTTATTTAATATTTTGAAGAAAGAAGAATCAAAATTCGCATCTCAACTCTAGCATTTGATCAGCCAGGTCATGTTAAAGAAATGTGAGATGGGTTCATAAAGATCGCAATGTGAATAATTGTATGATGTTTCTCCAAGATAAACAAAAGCTGAGATTTACAAGATAAACACTTAAGATCATCTTAAGTGTGTCTGAGATATGCTTCGTTGGTGGATGACAATTCATACAGTGGTTTTTGGAATGATTCCTAAAGTTTTTGAAGAAGCAAGATGAAAACATCCTTCGCAGTTATAGGAGGGGCAGGGGGGATAGATAGGTTTCACATATTGTATAGTTGTGTTGAGTCTGGATGTGAAAGGGGTTTCACAATGTAATATTATATGTCTTCATGTTTTGTATGCGAAATGGATATTTGGTCTTGTATGTTTTATGTTCATAGTCTACGCTTCGCAGGTTGAGTTAATTTGTCTTGATAGGCTGTCTTAGCTTCAGTGTCCTGACCTCATTGGTTAGAGTCTAATCGACTCCTTTATATTCACCTAGAGAGAGAGAGTGTGTGTGTGTGTGTGTGTGTGCGTGTATGTTCTTACGTCTTTATAATTGAGTGCTTTTTAATCTCTAATGAAATTCAAATCTTATTTACGTCTTACGTTATTTCAATATCAGATTTGAGTCGTGATTTCATTCATATAAAATCTTACGATCCTACAACTTGTATTTGTTGCAAGTGGAGATGTACTTATGTTGTTTCCATGTGGGGACTTATAAAATTTGGTTGAATTATGGGACGGATGTAAACAATTTACTTGAGACTATCATCCGATAGGGATATAGTATTCGTGTTAGTCCAAAATGAGGACGATGGCATGCAGATTATTGGAAACACGACTATCAAGCAACTATGTTGAGGACTTGAGGTTATCTCAATATATTTATAAGTTATTACATATGTATTCATACATATTACTCACTAATCTCTTGCCGCTTACCGCTGTTGTTGTGTTTAGTGATTGGTTAGTGTTGAAGTTTTGATATGTTGTAATGTAACACCCAATAGGGCATATAATTGATATATAACTATTGTTGTTGCGTTTAGTGACTAGTTAGTCTTGAAGTTTTAATATATTGTAATGTAACACCCAATAGGGCATAAAATTGATATATAACTATGGTTGATATACGCCACACGTTTGTATGAAAATTTTTAAATCAAAAAAAGATTACGGGTGTAAATAACACAAGCATTTACTTAAAAGTTACTAAAATACACATTTATATAACATTTTATTAATATTTATAAATGAAATTTAACAATAAAACGTAATATCATACACATCTTAATAATTATTAGTAATATAAATAATAATAATATAACAATAAAACATACAACCAATAATTACATAGTATTGGAGATAATATGAAAACACTATGTTTTTTATTTAAAATTTGATATAAAATTCATATGACACCTTATTACAAATTTTGAAGAGTTCAAATTCATATGACACCTTATTACAAATTTTGACGAGTTCATTTAAAATCTCTTAATTATATCATCTATACAGAAGTTGATATAAAATTTGTACGAAGGCTTATTATTTAAAATGTTAAGACTTTTGTTTAATCTGCCCATCAATTTTGTTTTCAATTTAAAATTTTGAATATGTACGAATGTTTGTTGAACACAACTCCCATCTATATAGAGAGAAACATCGAGATAGGACATGTCATAGAGTATGCCGGGCAGTGTTCAAGGAAAAAGTGAGGACACAGCAAACACAGCAATCGAACGGTCAAAAAAGAATTCAAATACAACCCCATAAATGAGATTGCGACACGTGTACAAGCTCACAGAAGAAAGCAACACCCTTCGCACGCGACCACCCCACACATCACTCTCTTATAATATTTTGTAAAAACTCAAATATATTTTTTTAATCCGTTAAAAATGTACATTTTTGTATAAAAAAGATAGTCCCGATTAATTAAAATTCTAAAACAAAGAAGCTACTATATTTATATTTCGAGTTTTAATAAAAACATTAATATTTGGTTAATAAAAAACAATAAAACACTATTATTTAATTTATTTCACTATTAATTTGTAAAAAAAAATAAATAAATAAATGGTTCAGCACAATCTAGGTATTGTAAAAGAATAAATAGTCCATAGTTTCTGTAAAGAGGATATATAAATTCAAGCTTACAATTTCTATATCTAATTAAATGCTTATAAATCTTTTTAAATATGTAAAGTAAAAAATAATAGTACGTGATTCAAAAAGATGAAAGTGTACATACCTTGGAGAAGACGGATAAACACAAGTTCCATAACCTAAAAATGACAAAAATACCCAAAAATTAATATTATATTATGAACACCATAATGCTGTTACGGAGACATGGGGAAGGGGTAAAACTGTGATTTGCACTAACTGGGGTCGGTTTTGGCAATGGCAGCGGTGCCGGAGAAGTCACAAGCGCCGGAATCCATGGAAGAGTGCATGTAAAAGCTGTTGAATGCGTAGGAAGCATGCGCCTGGATGGTGTTCGGAAGGAAACACAGTCCGGTGTCTTGTAAGGGTGAGCAGTCAGCTCCGGCGCCGCAGGCGTAGTCCAGTGCTGTCTGCAACGCGTCTTCTTTGGCGTCGTTTCTAGCGACGCACCATGTCGCCGCCGTGACTTTGCCGTAGACGACAAGTTGTAGCAGCAGGAGGAGTGCTACATTGGGCATTGTTGCCATTTGCAGAAACTTTGCAGAAAAATGTTTGATGAGTTTTGGAAGAACACACTAGAAACACACAATTGTGTGTGTTTGAAAAAGAGAGAGAATGGCAGTGAGGTTGGTGGAGTTTCTGTATTCAGCTTTATACGCAACTTTCAAAATTGAAATTCATGATTTGTTCATATTTTTTGAAATATCATGTTTTATGCCTTTATATGTTTTTCAATAATATACATGAATGGCTAATATAATAATGAAACATTTAAAATTCTTTGTAAAATAATGTTGTATAAAGTAAAAAAAATATTCTTAAAACTGTATGAATTAAACTATTTATTTGATATATTACTCTTGATGAATAAATTTAAAAAAAAAAAAAAAAGGCAACAACAGATCCCGTATATCGAGATGGGGTAGAGTGGTAGATGTCGTCAGTCGAACCTTCAATAACGATTGTGTCATATAAATGACCTTTGACATGTGCGTGCAACGGGTACATGTACGTGAGTCAAAAAGCAAACAATAAGTCAAGGTGAGCCGATAGAATACATGAGTTAAAAAAAATGTGCAAATTATAAAACATAATATTGTCAATCTACTTTATACATATTCACACTAGTATAGCATCGTCTTAAACCGAAGATACAATGTTTTCGAGGAGATCCACCATTGTTTTGATCTTTGTAAAATAGTCCATGATGGAAAGATCTCTCATGGATACGTTCCAGAGCTCGTTATCAAGTTCTATTGCTTTAGTTTCCTTTTAACTCGATTTTTTCAAGATTAATCCATACATCGTGTGCCATTGAGTCCTTGAGTACCATTTCTAGTAGTGATTGAGATAGGCTTCTATATATCCATAGTTTGATTATAGAGTCGATTTATCTCCACTTGATCGAGATCGGTTGCCTTTACGTTTAGTGTTACGTATGTGCCATGGATGTGGTCGATAACGTCAAATTCAATACAATATGCAGAAAATAGCCCTCTCCACGTGTTGTAGTTGAGACGGTCGAGATCAAGAAGAAATGTGATGTGAATCTTGATGTTTGTGATTCTGAACACTTTGTTGGGTTGAGCAACTGGAGCGTTGTTATGTTGAGAACAATTTAGCAAAAAGAATAGCAATGACATATGAAATAAGAACAATGAGAGTTGTGATTCATAGATGTTATTGTGGTGACGATGTTAGGGGAATAAAGATTCATATGGGAAAAGAGAAATTATAGGAGTGATGTTTTGTTTAAAAAATTATTTGTTTTAAATCCTAAAAAGTTGTAAGTTTAAGTTACGAAAATAACAACCTCAATAGCTCAATGTTTACAAATTAAGTAAAAGTCTAAAGTTAAGCAAAGTAGTATCAGAACCTAGTTTAAGTACCATGCAATCAATTGTATTTTATAATGTCTTTTCTACTTTTTGTCTTTAAAGTCATCAATCTGAGTACACATCAAAATAAGTTAAGCAATGGAATTGTCTAATGCGATACTCGAGGTTAATTCACATTGAGTAATGAGATAGCAATCTATCTTACTCAAATAAAGCCTCCAAAACATTTGAGAAAACACTACAAACAATTTAGGGTGCAAAGGACCCAAATCAAACCAAAAGGGGGTAATATAATTCCTTATTTCCAAAACGACTAAACTTGGTTGGCAAAGGTTCAAAAAGTGGATGGTATAAATGGTAAATAAGGAATATGCATAAATATGCAATGTGTGCAACTATTCTTAACCATTTTCATTCTCATAAAGTCCAACTCTTAAAAGTGAATGGTTTAACTTAAAACTCAAAGGGGAATGGTTACCCTCCCCCCCCCCCCCTTTAACTTTTAACTCAAGCCTTTGACTCACATGGTGTCACACCCCCGAACCAGACGACGGAAACGTCTGGGGGATCGTGTGACTAACAATTGAATTATCATCACAATGAATATACATGAAACATAACACATTCATCACCAAAATTACATATCACAACCAACATTGTTCACATCAAGTACATTGTTATAAATTACATAAATTCAAAGTATTAATCGTACGATGAGTGATGTTACACAAAATAAATCCATACACACTTGAAAATCTTTCTGCTTAACGATTACCTGAGAATACCAGTTATTTTGAAAACGGTCAACATATATAATGTTGGTAGGTTCATAAGTATGTTTAGATAAAAGTCTTTGTATCTTTTGTAAAAACCCAGAAAATCCGATATTTTCTGTAAAGTGTCTGAAAATGATGTGAAAATCAAGTATAGATGCATGTGTGAATTTCGTAGTAGTAACATATATGAATGCAGTTTAGATTTCTTTGTATTTTAAGTAAGTGATAATTGAATAATACTATTTCCCGAAAAAATATGATATTTTCTGATTTATAATAATGGCGAGGTTCTTTGATCATTAATTTAAGTTATTTTGTATTGACATAATCGAAGGGTTAATCTTCGAAATGTTAAATTGGTATTGGATCTCTATATGAGCCGTTATAACCATACATGATAATGACTAGGTTGCCTGTCTTGGCATTTTTCCAAATGTCGGTATTTGCTCAAAGTTTTGTCGCCCGAGACTAGCCTAGTCTAGCTGTAGCGAACAACTAAGGCGTGGGGGGTCACCCCATATAGATCTATACACAAACTCCCGCTCTCCCTCCAGGAAACTCTGGTTATAACTACAGACTACGATTGTACACTCAAATGTGCCAACCGACAAGTCTCACTAGATTCTCAACCTTTCATGTTCGTTATGTTTTTCACTGTGTTTAATGTTTACGTGTATGTTGCATGTTTTCATATCCAAAGGTACATACATAAGTATACGAAGTTCAATAATTATGTAAGGGATAGAGTTACGATCTACTAAGCATGTGAAATTCAGTCAAAGCCCAATTAGCATGTGAATGGACCACAAAGGCCCAATAACATGTAAGAGGGTAATTTGGGCCCAATAGGCATGTAAATGGACCACCAAGGCCCAACAAACATGTGACCCATAGCTCATGCCCAAATTAACATGCAAATGGGTCGCAAGGCCCAATAAACATGTCATGGAAGATATTAGGCTCAATATACACTTGAATGGGCCTTTAAGGCCCATTGGTCATGTAATGTGAATATTAGGCCCAATAAATTGTTATCGATGTATTTCGTCCATTCGTTATTGTTTCGTTGTTTATATTTAACTCGAGGTTTACCAAATTGATTATAAAAAGTCTTCTTTTTGTAAAAACGGCGTTCTTGGTCAATAAGCCTCAAATTTTCAATTAAGGCCAAAAGTTTTGTAATAATAACACTTTAGTCCATAATTTATAAAAATTTGTACTTTCGTCCCAAATGTTTAGAAATTCACGGGTTTAGTCCAAAAATTTATATTTTGACATTTTTTGCCCAGTTTTGCAGAAAAGTGCATTTTCAGCCCCTTGTTTGTAAAAACTGACACTTTCGGCCCAATTTTGATAAAAGTTACATTTTTGGTCCAATTTAGAAATAAATGTTATTTTCACCCCTAAATTGGTTTATTTACATTTATGACTCAACTTTGGTCAAATAACATTTTTATCCCAAACTTTCATTTTTTTTTCGCAAATTTGGGCCCAAAATCGTGAGGCCCAAATGTTTGGCCTAGTGAGCTAAAATTTACATTTTTTCCCCTTTGGAAAGCATGTTTATCATAAAAATCCATTTTTATACAAGTAGGACCTGTTTGATCCTTATAAAAACATAAATGTCACTTTTTGCCTTTTATATTTGTTTTCTTGACATTTTGACCCTTAACAAGGTTTTTGCCTTAAATTTTTATATCTTCAACATATAAAAACTTTTAACTTGATAATATGATGTATAAGGTGTCTTAGTTCATGGATCTTTACTCAATGTTACTTAAGATGTCGAGATTTGTTAAGATCTACCATATTTTTACAAAATAAACTAAGAAATCACACAAGACATGCATATAACACATAGATCTACACATTTTACTTGTATTCTCCCCCCAAAAATCATGTAAAAAAACGAAAACAAGGGGGTATGAACTCACCTTTGCTTTGATGTTTCGGTTTTGAAGAAGAGATGAAGAGATTTTTGGGTCCCTAACAAGCTTTCTTGAGTGGATCTCGAACTTAGGAGGTTTCTAGGAATATGATCACCAAAATTTGCTTAGAAGGAGTGATCTAACATGAGAATGAAGTTATATAACTTGGATATGTAAGGACTTACCAAGAAAATGATGATTTTTTGTGGAAATCTTCGTGATCAACCCTAGATCTTCGAAAATTTGAGAGGAAATAAAGGAGTGTTTCTTGTGAGTGTTTGAGAGAGTTTGATGTTGTTTGTGTGTGTATGTGTGTGCTTACCTTCGTCCGAGAGGAAGAAAAAAATAGAGAGGGAAGAGAGATTAAGATGTGATAGGTGCATAGATGTATAGGATTGGGTATTTGTTTAGAGGGTAATTTGCATGGATTACCTCCATGTATTAGTGAGGTGGCATGGCTTGGATAATTAGCCATTTTTTTTATGATGGGCCGAGAATTGGATTTGGAAGGAGGAAGTGAATTAATTTGGGCCCAATCTTAGTCTTCACTCGAATTTTAACCCATAGAGAAGTTTTCGGCCCATTTGGCCTTTAGGGTAGTTCACGGCCCAAAATGGCATAAAAGAATGGATTTATGGCTTACTAGGGTTAATTGGATTAGTTATGACCCAATAAGGCCCATTAAGGTTAGAATGAATCATTCTAGGTCCAAATGGTCCAAAATGTTTTAGATTTGTGAATTTGGGTCCATTTAGAATCCAAATAGGGTTTCCAAGCCCAAGATAGTTAAGTTGAATGCTTATTGGTCCATTAGGCCCAATAAGGAATCCTAGTCCAATATGCACTTAAACCAAGGTTCTTAGGGTTTCAGACTCTTTGATGAACATGAGAGGTGCATTTAAATGAGCTCTGGGTGATATTTACTTAGAGTATATGTTTTACAATCGTTGAATGATTACACAAGAATAGAATTTCCTAGCTAAAATGCTAGTTGTGACATCATCCTCCCGTTAGAGGGAATTTCCCGAAATTCTTTTGAAACTAGGTTTGTGAAGGAAAGAATAACTGATGGTA